CACACACACACACACACACACACACACACACACACACATATATATATATATATATATATAGTTCATCTCATACATGCTGTAGTTGTGACTTCAGCTTATGAAAATGGGCTTTCCTTTATAGAAAGTGAAATACATGTAATCTGAATTATTTGAACACTAGGCGGAGCTCTTCTGTTACTTATTTTTTCTCTGGGCCATCCCTCGGTAGGGTTGTATTAGTGCGGCGTGAACACAGCTGTAATTAAGGAAAAAAACACATTTGTAGCATTGCATCATTGTTTGATAGCAAGTCAGATCTTTGGTCTGGATCACCTCTGCATCTTTTCTCAGCATGACTTCCTGCAGACGCCTCGCCTCTGACACCAGCCAACTGGTTTGCAAAGTCTGGAAATGTTCATCCAGAGCTTCTGGAGAAGGTGACAGCTGTCCGGGATTTCACACAGGAGGAATTTCTAGCCTTAACTGGAAAGGAGAAATATTGAATTTAGAATGTAGGCAACAGCTTCAGTTCTGAAGAAGCTTCTTGGATGAGAAGCGAAACATCTTCCCAAAAGAAAACAACCTCCAGAAAGTCCAGTTGCCTCTTGAAAAAAACAGCTTTGGGATAGTCGGTGTTATTTTCACCCTAAAGTCTCCTTTAGGGTCGCTATGGAAATTAGATGGCTAAGCAGGAAAGAAAACCAGGAAAGAAAAAAAGGGAGAAAAGACTTTCTGATTCTAACTCTCTATTGCAATGAGCAACATTTTCAGACAGCAAGTATCTCTATATATGTGAATAAAGAGATTGTTCAATATTTCATTACTGTCCAAGTTTGGGGCTAGGTTGTTATCAGGTCTGCAGCCATCTTTTCTTTTGGATCTCTGGCCTGCCACACTTTCTATTATTCTGCTATGCATTTTCTATTGTGGGAAAATGAGAGGGAGGAATTGTACGTTTTTAGATGATATGTAGCCATAGCAAAGTTCTTTCCCGAAAGCCAAGGTCATCTTTTGTATTTGAACCTCTACACCTGACCAGAACTGGATGGGTGGAAGCTGCCAGCATGGCAGTGGGAGATTGGACCATGTGATGAGCTTGTGGGTCTGGGGGCAAGATCCTGAACTTTCAATTAGGTGGAGAAAACTGGGAAGCTTTCAGATTTGGTTTTTCCCAGATGCGCCAACGTGGCTTTCTTAATAAATCGGAACTTTGAGCAATACTTTGCNAAGGAGGACCCAGATTCTTGGGGGAGGGGGGGCGATAGGCTGACTCTGTAAACCACTCAGAGAGTGCTGAAAAACACTATGAAGTGGTATGTAAGCCTAATTGTTGTTGCTATCCCAGATAACAATGCAGGTTACATATGATTTTTTTTCCTCTTGCCATTTCTTTTTGCAGTGAACTCTCATGCAAAACATTGGAAGGTCTGGATGGATTGCGACAGCTGATCTTCCACATCAGCACAAACATGAAGGATGTCGGAAATTCCATCGGCTCACAGAGGCTTGTTGGGAGATTGGTGTGTAATTTTCTATAGGGGATACACCCTATAGGGTGGGTTTAGGGATTTCTCTGTTTTGTCGTTTTTAAGAAACACATAAAACTGTAATATAAACATGGCACGGTTTAGTACACGTTAAGACTCCTTAGCTGCAGCTGTGTGCCAAGAACATGCAAGATGTTGGACGGTGAGACAAACTAGTCTCCACAATGTACATTTACTTTATGACTGGGTGTAACCTCTGAGTATGGTTGTAATTACAAATCTTTTGATCTCATTTCACATGGGAATAAATCTGACAGCGGCAGGGAATAGCTTTTTTAGCTTTATCTCCTTAACCTTCTATGTCAAGTAGGGAGAAGGTTTGACTCTCCGAAGATTGGTGAACCAAATCTTCTAAGGCCTGTAGTCTGTTTTTAGGGAAACTGGGATTTGTAATTCAGCAACATCTGGAGTAAGAGGAAAGAATCAAGTTGCTCTTTTGCAGTTCTACTTGCTGTTTCTCCAGCACCCTCCCTCCAATTTGGGTGGGTTGGTGCTCTATTATAATCTCATAATAACAGTTCCTTATTTAGAGAATAATTTAGAGACAATGATAGATTTGGGAGATGCATTTGAATTCTTTGCTTTGCTTTCATCAAGAGATTGATTTGCACTATCATATAACAGGTCCCGAGGAGCTATTTGAGTCTTCAAGTATCCGTCACAATTGAGCAACAGAGGAGAAGCCAAAACGATAGCGTGCAATATCTCACCGACAAGGAAATACAAGGGATCATTGAGAAAACTCCAGCCAATGACATCAAGGATTATGAAGACATGCAGTCTGGTAGATATGCATGGAATAATTTTATCAGTGTTGTGGCCCGCTGGTGGCCAGCAGAGCTGGCAGCAGAGTCGGACAGTGAGGAGATTGGGGAGGAACATGGGCCAGTCCTGGGGGGGGGGAGGGCTGAGGAAAGCTCAGATGAGGGCTCTGTTGGAGGCAGAGTGGGAACAAACAGCAGTGAAGCAGAGGAAGAGCTGGAGCTGTTCCCAGTGTGCGCATGCACAGAACTGCCAAAAGACAAGAACCACTAAGAAAGCAGGGTTGATTTAGGAGTAAAACCACACCTTTGAGGTGATTGGCCCCTCCCATAGGAAACAAAAGAGGATCGAATGGGGAGTGGGCTTTTGCAGAAAACAATTCATCCCTTCGGTCATTTCAAGAGTGGAAAGTTCTGTTTGTGACTATAAGAGCCTTGCCCTGCCTTATGGAAACTAGTTATCTGGCAGTTCTCCAAACAAGATAAGGTTTGTGTTGACAAACATTCCCCTGAAAGACTGTTTGCTAAGCCTTGCTGACTGTGAATGATAGGAATTCACAGTCGTGTAAATAAAAGAGGTTTTGCTGGGACCAAGACTCTGCTTCTTGCTTATTAAAGAAGCCTGGGTCAGAACAATCAGAGGCTAAGTGCACAATACTGTTGGCAGCATACAAGTAGATTCTGCTCAGAAACTAAGCCCGCGTTTGCAAAGTTATGGTGGCAAGCGTTTTCTGGTATTCATGAAATCCCAAAAAGTAAGCTGCGATTGCATCCTATGTTTCCCTGAGTGAAAGCAGAAAGGTTAGCCATTGTGTCATAAGGAACTCCGAGGGTGATTTGCAGGGGTTGTTTCGACATTTCAAGAGAGGAATGGATATTATAAAAGACAGAGGGGATGACAGTGAAGATGTCCACTTATATATGCTTATTCCACCTGTCAGAAAGTCAAGAGGGCTCACCATTTGAAACAAAATATGAACAACCTTCTTGCCAGAGTCGTTAAGGGAATCATTGCAGTTGTTAAGTAAATCACATGGTCATTAAGTGAATCTGGCTTTGATTGGCAGAAGGCAACTGGGAAGTTTGCAAAAACAGGGGACCCTATATCATATACGTGAGAGAGGGGAGGAGGGAGGGAAGGGGAGAGGGAGATGCATGTATGTGCATATACATGTGTGTGTGTGTCATATAGATAGATAGATAGATAGATAGATAGATAGATAGATAGATAGATAGATAGATAGATAGATAGATAGATAGATAGATAGATAGATAGATA